TTTCTATCCCGCCCCCCTTATGGGATATTTATGTAAGGTCTAGAGAGTGAACAAAAGAAAAATGGCGATGAGATTTTTTTTTTTTTTCCTGAACGAGATTCCTTGAGACTTTATGCATCAATTTCCAATCTTCCATGCTCTTGTTTTTCAAGTCAAGATGCACGGTAATAGCACTGCGAATTTATTGACTTCGCTTCCTTATTATGATAATCTTTTGAAAAAAAAACTTAAATTAAGACCTATTTTGAAAAATAGAAGGAAAAAAAAAATTTAATTTTTTTTGACAATTTTTTAAAAAATTTATAAAAAAATAAAGAGATGATATGACCTAAATAAACAAATAATCAATAAACTGATTCTTTTCTTAATTGCCAAAAATAAACATAGTGGTGTTTGGGAACTTGGGTTTGGGATTTTTTTTTGATTTTTTTCACTAAAAGACAAACTTTTTACAAAGCCAAAAAAAACACATGCAAACAAAATGTCACAGCCAATTCTATAATTATTTCACTTTTTTTCTCACAAACATCACATCTAACCACAAAAAAACTCAACTATCTTTTCAAACACCAAAATTTTTTATCCAATAATATCCTACAACTAAAAAAATCTACATAAAAACACACTTCTCAAACACCCACATAATAGCAAGAATTTTTTTTTTTTCATTTTATGAGATGCAATAGTTGCAAGTGTTTGGTGCAATATCCATACGAAACGGTGCTCTCCCTCTCATCTTTAATCCTTTTGATTTTACATCATTTACGTGAAATTAGGAGAGACAGAAGTAAGAAGATGAATCATTTTCAATTTTTTATGAGAAACATGGTTTGTTCATATAATATAAAGGGAAAATATCAAAATAATAAAGTGTTAGAAAACTAGTACTGTAATAATTTGACAAATGAGTGTTGTACTTTTATGAATTTATAATTATTTTTTTACTTTTATTTTTATGATATTTTTCCTAATATAAATATATGCAAAAGTATATATTATAAATATATGTAAAAATGCTTTTGAATGTGTACAGTTGTATTGACATTATTTAAAATAAAAAAATAAAATAAGATAAAATTGGTACATGATACAACTGTATATAATATCATAGTCATTGTCGTAAACAGTAAGTTGTACAGAAGGCTAGGGCTGTAGGATCCAGAAAAGAGATGTTTTTGGCATGTGAGAGGGTGTACGTGCACCTACATAGCATTATTAATTGCATGCGTATATACATCTATATCTATCATTATTGGATTTTTCACCCTTTTTGTCTTCCTCCTTTTCCTTCTTCACTGTTTCTCTTCCTAATTTCCATTCCCGCCCCACCTCGCCACAGTACTAGTATTGTTTTCTTTTGTGTTCTCACGTTTAGGGTTCCTTTGGCCTGAAGCTTTGGGTTGAGTGGGGATTATTTTATTTATAAAAAGATAAAGAAATTTTTTAATTTAATAAGATAAAATATTATATTTAAATTATAATTATTTTATTTTTTTCAAAAAAATAATCAAAAAGTCTATTCAAACGAGGCTTTTTAATCCCAAGTTAAAATAGCCAAAAAATTAAATAGTCAACTCACATCTCAAACGAAAACTTAGATGTCTACTGAAAATTTTAATAAACCCATTTTTTAAAGAGGGTATCATATTAGGTCCCATTTGTTTTGAAAGATAGAAAGGGATTGAAATTGAGATGGAGGTAAAATGTGAAACTCACTAATATTGTGTTTGTTTTGGGAGATGGGGAGGGGATTCATAATCCGTCGGACTATTTTATTTTTATTTTTTACATGTTGGGCATTTTTTTTTTTGAACATTAATATTTAATTTTTTGTATTTTTGTTAAGTACAAATCATAGTTTTGTTTGTTTTTATTTAATTTTAATTTAATTTAATTTTTTATTTTTTACATATTGGACATTTTTTTTGAATATTAATGTTTAATGTTTTTTTGTATTTTTTTTTATTATTTTATATAAAAATAATTTAACAATCCTTATACCAACAATTATCAACAAAATAAACATAATTTTACCAAATTTCCTCACTAACAATCCCTCGCTACGAATCCCCTATATTCTACTTTTAAAAACAAATGGGCCCTTAGTTATATTTAATAAATATGTGAAATGACGTGACCTAAAACAGGTTAAAAGTTAGAAAACGACTTTTAATCCACTTCTTAAAAGAGACCTTAATTATACAATAATGCTAATAATTTAACGGGTTGTTTGGAATGATCTAAATAAGTATACTTTTTGTCTTTTTATAAAAAGATGTGCAGAAAAATAGAGAGGTGATGTGATGGAAAAAAGATAAATAGATAAAAAGATAGATTATATAAGAGATGCCAAACCACCCTTAAAAATAATACAACGGGTAATAAGCAGAATATAATTTCAAAGAATTGACCAAGCGGTAAAAGCTTGAGAAAAATATCTAAAATCTCAAATTCGAATCACTCCAAAAGGCGAAACGTTTCTTGATCATTAATTTTAAAATTTTAGAATTAATTGAGATACATACAAATTGAACTGAACAGTCAATTATTAAAAAAAATTCAGAATATGATGTTGATAATACTACATTTATTTTGGTACGGGTGAGTCCCACCGAGAGCATTGAACAGTTTTTGATAATAAAAAAAAAAATGTGAATTTGTATCGTCACCCTCAATAATTATACGAAAAGTGCAGCACAACTCAAAACTAATGTTGAAAAAGTTATGTTTTGGTTAGATTAATAGATTTCTATTGGATCAATTGATCAGTTAAACCAACCACCGCACCGCCCAGTTTCCATTATAAATTTACTTATGGGTGGCTTGTGCTTTTGTGACATGGACAAATGAACTAAGTTTGGTGGTTATACATATACTTTTCGTTTAGAATGTGAGTTAATTTTTTAATTATTTTAGTTTGAATTAAGATGTATTTTTTGATTTTTATGAGAGAAAAAATGAAATAATTATGATTTAGATGTGACATTTTATCTTATTGATTTGTTATTTTTTTTTTTTAGTGGTTAAAATAACCCCAACTCAACCCAAACCTTTATGCCAAACGAACCCATACTAGGTGTAAGTTCACCCAAGGTGTGTACTATTAAATTTGTAAAATATAAATTTTGATTTTAAATTAAAAATATATGTAGTGTTTGTTGATCAAGTGATGAGGATATTATTTTTCAAACTTAAGATCTTAGGTTCAAAACTTGTGCACTTCATTTTATAATTTTTTTTTTTCGTGGTGAACGACTAGAGGAGATCCTCCTAAAAAAATTCACTTGGAAAAAAGGGAGTGTAGGCTTTAAGAAATTAAAGTGAAAGTTGTGCATATATATATAATAGTGTAGATTTAAGTAGGATTAGGGTTTCAAACACTAGAAAAAAATAATAATAATAACTCAAAATTTATGTGTTTTGAAATTCTTACCTAATCTAATAAAAATATATTAAAATATGGAGACAAAAATTTGGGATATATGTTTTTGACCTTTCCCAAGAAAGCAAAGTAATTGGGGGAAAAAAACACGAGACAACAAAACTGCGATTGTTAACAAATAAGATCTCTCTCAAAGTGCATGAGATTTGATTTTGGGATCTCTCATGTCTTATTGTCTCATGATCTTGTCCATCATACAATCATGCCAAAAAGATTCATTTTATATTACAATGACAATTTGAGATGGGAGAGGGAAGATTTGAACAAAGAATTGGACATTTTTAAAGATATAATGGAAAAAGCGAGGGAATACACCATTAAACTAAACCAGTAGTTTTATTCTTTCCTAACTTAACAGTAAATGTCACTAAGCAAGTTTAATAAAGTAGTTGACATCATAAACTTGAAATTTTCGGTTGACAGGGGTATTAACATGTGCAGAAGAGGTCCAAAAGTTAAGGACATGAAGTTAGTGGCCCAAGGAAGAAGATTGAGGGTCGCATGGCAACCTCAGAGAGAAAGAGAGTTCACGGCAGTTGCAGATCATGGACAGATGTGAGAAGCCAGCAAGTGGACATGTGGTAGCATGGCATGGCCAATAAAACAATATAAAAGTTGAAAATTCGAAGAGAAGAGGACTTTCAACCAAATTTACAACTCATGTGAAATTTAGTAGTAGTATAACTTATCTTGGAGTAATTCTTATATTTAAGAGTAGTATATCTATAATTCAATGTTTGTAACTCAGTTTGGCCCTGTTAGTTGCGACGTTATTTGAACTTGTAATTTGATTCTTGTAATTAAGTGACAAGTTTAGACGTTATTTAATCGAATTTCAATTTGTTTGTACTTGTTTTTTCACATTATAACCTTCAAAGAATTTTTTGAGCCTGTCAAGACATATATAGCCTCCGTTTGGCAAGGGCTTTTTCAGGCTTTTTTGGCTATTTTAGCCACAAAAAACAAAATAGGCTATTTTAGCCATAACAAACAAAATATCACATCCAATCCATAATCATTACATTCTTCTCTCACAAAAAAAGTCAAAAAAATCAAAAAGTCAAAAAGCCCTTCCCAAATCAAGCTTTTTAGCCCAGGCTAAAATAGCCAAAAAAGCCAAAAAGCCAAAAAGCCAACCCACTTCCCAAACGGAGGCATAGGATACTAACCACATTGCTTAATCAAGTTATTTCAAGTTATTTGTGAAATTTAATTTTTTTTGTCGACTTTTTCCTGTCGATTTGCCCCAAACTAAATTTTTGCTAACAAAAGTGACAACAAACAGATTATAAACAAGATAAACCCCATCTTAATGATCCAATCTTATTTAGAATTATATACCATGAAAAACAGATATAGTCCCTTAATTACAAATTGGTGAGAAACCTAGATGGGCCTCCTCATAATAATGATAATGGACATATAACAGTTATTCAAAACACCTTATCCTCTCCAAAGATACCCTCCTTAAATCCTTGTGGGTGTCACTTCCTAAAATAATTCACAAATTATCCACCTTATACAGTTAATTATCAATAAAAATAGTATTTACAAGATAGGTGATCGATTGGGTGGAAGACATAGTCAATCACATCCATCTTTTTTGCACAATCTTATTGATCAGAGCATCGCGTACACATGTTGCAGTAGTGTTTTGAGACTACTAAATAACACTTTCCGTCTTACATGCTTCCATCGCCTCTCTCAGGACTATCTCCTGAACGGTTATTATTCCATGGAGAGTTATAAGGAAAAGAAAGCCCAGAATTGTGATCAAAAGAAGCTCCATGACCATGACTACCCATCCTTCTTCCATAAGGGACCGGCCTTTGTCCGGTCCCCATTTGGCTAGCCACGTCACTCCCCGGAAACACAGGGAACGCAGTATTGCCGCCGGTGAACCGCATGAGATCAGCATTAGTGGCATCAAGTTCTTTCTGAAGCCGAACAACCTGTCTCTGGAGGACTGAGATTGCTCCAACACAACCATAAACAGGATCTTTAATACGTGCCTCGGCTTCGTATGCAAGAGAGTTCACTGCATCTTCTCTCTGATGGGGTTGGATCTCATTTAGGAGTTTACTAACATTGCTTGCACCAAATATTTTGTGAACATTGGCAAATTTTTGAGGCTCCTCCGGCGGAAAATAGGGTGCAAAGATGCAGCCTGGCAGGCATTTTCTCCTCAAGAACTTGCAGGCAGCACAAGGAGAGTTGGAGTAGCTGGAAGAAGAAGCCATCTTCACTGAAACCATGTTTTTGTTTTTTTGATCGGCAAATTAAAATTTTATTAACTAGAAATACAAGAGTACATTGAAATAATAAGGATTAAGGAAAAAGTTTTACCAAATGGTATATCCATACTCATGCATATGTAAATTCATACCAATTTTTGCAAATTTCTTATGAGTTCCGATTGGTAGTAGAATATTTAAGATAAGACAAATTTAATGTGTTTATATATTGAATAAACTGACAATTTATGCTGATGAGTTGTAGTGAAACAAAGCTTAATTCAGTTTTTTCTAATAACATGGTCATATATATTGTGCAGGACAGTATGCGAATAACAAAAAATATATGAAAGTGTAGAGAGATGATAATTAAATAATGATATTGAGAAAATGAATGTAATTCATTCTATCTATATTGGAGAGGATCAAAATTTGTAGGCTAGTCTCTCTCACAGCAAAATGAAAAAAATTGGAAGAATTTGAACTAAGGTATTTCGGAAGACATGGTGACTTATAGCCCTTATATAAGAGCAAAAATGTGAAAAACATTGTTCATGTTGTTAACTTCAAATGGTTGGGAACACCTTAGCTTAGCTAACTACTAGTAGTTGTTCATAAGACTTTTTAGTTTCATTTTTTCCTTTTCAAAAAAAGAAAAAAAAAAAAAATCTCTATCAAAGCAATTTTCTCAGGTTAAGCTTTCTTTTGCTATTAAGAAAGAAAGGAAAAAGAAAAAAGAATCTGAAACACCTAATTAAACACACATGCATGCACAATTACAAAAGAGTATAGTATATGTTGATGTGGGTACAACACGCACACATGGAATGAAGATTTCCATTTCTTTTGATAAGGATATGTTGATGTGCGTCTTTCTCGAGCATTGATAATGGAATGGAGATTTTCGTTTCATTCATGTAACGAAGAGAATTTCACTTTGTTCTAACTATACAAACAAATTTATTTTTATAAATAAATGTGATGCCTATCATATTAGTAAATTGGGCCGCATTTACCTTGTTGAAGTATTATTACTACGTATATAAATCAGTAAAAGAAATTATGTTTTTGTGGTATTTCTCATTACAAAATCTAACATTCCTTCATCATCCATATATATATAATATATGCGAAAAGGCCCCAAACCCAACAATTTTGAAACACAAAAATAACACAAGCACACAAAGAAATCACAGCCTTCCAAAATACAAGGGTTCTTCTTCCTCATTATATAGGTGCAAAGGCAACCCAAAATCCTATAATTCAAACATACAGGAAGAATAAAAAGGAAGGAAAACATCAATCTAAAAGACTGTAATGGTCTTCTGTGTAGGGATCCCCTCTATCTCTCTCTCTCTCTCTGTGGTAACATTCAGTGCACCCCCAAGACACCTACTACACATAGTAAAAGAGATCCACCCTAATTCTGTCAGTATATATTATGGGTTTGTATATATAAAGGGACATATTTTAAACTACATATTAAGAAAGACCCTGATTCAAAGTCTGCAACCTAACATCATGCAACTTTCATTACTTCACCCTACAAACAGAAATAACAAAATTAGCAGAATACAAAAAGAAATTTTACTTACCTTGTTCTTTATGATCTAGTCTAGGATTTTCAGATCAGAAGAATGAAAATAAATAATAACAATAATAATAAGGGACCCTAATAATAATAAAAGAAAAAGAAAAGTACCTTGTCTACCTAGTGTAACTTCTTTCAAAAATTGTTTTTTGACTCTCCAGTTAAGAAAAATGCTGCAGCCATTGAAAAGATGAGAATCTTTTGGACTGTTGTTGTTGGATTATTGAATTCAGAGGAGAAACCCTAGCTAGGTGCAGAGAAACAGTAGTGTCAAAAAGGTTGGGAAGATGAGAGAAAAGGAAGGCAAAAGAGCAATTTGGTGAATGGAGAAGGAATGGAAAAAGCAAAAGGTGTAATAAATAGGACCACAATTATTAAAATAAAAAAAAAAAAAAAAGGGGGTGACCATGACACTGACCTTATACTATATTTATTCTCAAAAATTAAAGAAGGCAGTCGGCAGTCGGCAGTCCGTTCTAATACTACCATCCTTCTAGTTTCATCATCCAAAAGACACAAAATCTTCACCTAATTATTACAATGGAGATAGCTAATAGTAATTTGAATTTTAAGTGATATGATAATTTTGGGCACACAAAAAAAAATATCATACCTATAATAAAATTGAATTGTATATTCTATTTTTCTTCTCCTCACATAATATATCCTTTTTTTTTTCTTTTTATCAGTCATAATATCTTGATGTTATTTTATTTTAATTTAAACTTAAACTGCTATTATATCCATTTTATTAATGTATTGTGTTGTGATTGGAAAACTCAATATAAAAACGTTGCACAAAATCCACTATTGAGTAATTGGCATGATTGGAATAAGTACAGTTTACAAGCCAGAATGTACAGGCATTTGTATAAGTTGTAATTGTCCACACACACACAGACTGACTCATCAAAAGAGTCCTATTTTGATGTGGCGTTGGCTACAAGAATTTTCATGATTTCATGTCACTATTTTGCAGGTCCATGATTATGATTTTGATTTTTTTACGAGAAACCTCCTCACCTCTTCGGTGAGAAAGACGTAAAACAGTCATGTTACATTTACATAATTTTTCTTTTTGAATTTTTTTAAAATGAGTTTTTTTATCAGTCATAAATTCATTGAGGTTCCGTTTGATTAAAAAAAAAATTAATAGAAAGTGTAAATAAAAGAAATAAAAAAGAAATATATTTCTTTGTAAGTATTTGGTTAAGATAAAAAAAATTTGTAAGAAATAGATTAAAAAGAATTTAAAAGTTATATATAGATAATTCACACATTCAAATTTTCTTGTATTTTCTTGTGTTTTTAGCAAAAAAATAAAAAATTAGTTACAATGCTAATATTGGTTGTACAAGAAAATTAGTTTTCTTATACTTTCTACTTTTTCAAGCTAAACAAACTCATAGAAGTTAATTTTTTTTCTTTCTTTCACTTTCTATTTATTTTATCCTAAACAAACTGAACCTTAGAAAAATTTGGGAGGAAAATTTATGTGAATGAATTATTTTTAAGGTAAAATTGCAATTAATAATGGGATCTAGAAGGGTGAAAAAAATAATTATATACTAGTATTAAATATTAATTATCTTTAAATTATACATATTCTTCTTTTTTAGATTTTAAAAAAGAATAAGTGTTGCACGATTATAATTTTTTTGAGGGATCTTATTTATAATAATATTGCTATTATTACCAAATTAAATATCATCTAATATGTCACTAAGGTCCTATGAGCCATTTGGGAACAAGATAAAAAGGTCAAAAATCAATTTTTAACTCATTTTAAATCACATTACATTTCATGAAATAATATTTAAAATTTAGCACTGAAATTTAATTATCAAAACGTGCATTGCCTTAGCATCACAAATCAATAAGTAAATACTATCAGTTTCTCTAATTCCTAACATAAAATGGTGAATTCCATCATTTTCACGCATCACAATCTGTCTGTAACACCTAACCATGTCATATGATATCGTATGATATCGAATAACTTCTCAATCAAATATGACTAAATTTTATGTGTATTAATGGATATATATAATCCAAGATATCCATATGAGTGTGCTTGAATTTGACAGTTATAGATTTACAAATATGATTCAATTTATCAATTGCAATTACAGTTATAAGGGACATTTTCACTCCAAATTTAGCTTTGCAAAACTTCCCAAGAAAGCAAACCATGAAAAATCCATTCCATCATCCATTCATAATGACAGTCAACAATAAGTTTCCTATCACAGTTGCATATCTAGTCCATGATCACCAAACTACCAAAGATGAAGTATGATCATGATCAGACAAATCATGTGTGAATTCTTTCTTACTTGGTACACGTTTTGTCTGTTTGTATACCATTACATATACATGTATACTAAGCCTCTGAATTTAACTATCATCATCTGTTAGCTAGCATAGCATCTATTATTGAGTTTCACTATCAACTTCCAACATTTGTGAAGACCCAGAAAAGTTTTTACTGTTTGCCTCCATTATTGAATTTGGCCACCAACAACTACACAGTGTTCCGTTTGGGAAGTTAGCTATTTTAATATGTTAAAATAGTTATATTTAGGAAGAGAATTTGATTTTTTATAGTTAGATGTGATATTTGTGAGAAAAAAGTAAAATATTTATAAATTTGATATCACATTTTATCTTATTGATTATTTTAACTTATTTTGTCTTTTAATATTATTTTAACCAAAAAAACCAAAACAAACTTCTTTCCAAACACCTATAGATTATAAATATCATTGTCAATGTATTTACAGAAAATTAGGTCCTTAATTGGTGCTCACTGCTGTCTTCTTTTTCTCTTTTGCTTTTTTGAATTTTATTTTTATGACAGGGTATTTAGGTCAACTTACGCATACCTCAATTAATTCTGGGACCATACAAAGCGTCACTGCCATGTGAATCGGGCAAAGTCTACAGGCATGACTCCAAAGAATTAATAATTCCTAGTGAGAGTTAAACTAGAGATTTGGAGGGAACACACTCTCAAATTGCACTCAAGGGCACTTTGGGAAGAAGCTAAAAAAGCCAGCTTTTTGGCTTTTTAATTTTTTTAGTAAAAAAAGTCAACTTTTTACCAACTTTTTAAAATACCAATCATTTTGATCTTGTGAAAAGAAAAAAAAAATTATGTCCGTTACAAAGATTGAATCCGGCTTCACCCTCATTTGGTATAGTTTATTTGAGTTGGTTATAATTTTTTTTTTAAAAAAAATTGAGAATTTATATTAAAGTGTTTGATACAATTTTTATTTATAAGGTATGAGACAAAAATAATGTCAATAACTGAACAAAATATTAATTATCTAAAAAATGAGAAAATGATATTCTTAATCAACAGGCACTTCTAAGGGATGGGTATTAAATAGGGTGACGAAAGATTTACATTATTATTAGGGGGGAAATAACAACAATATTACATATCACTAAATTTCTACCACTAATACCATCACTAATGATGTGACAAGTGAAAAAAAAAAAAAAAAACTAAAACACAAAACACATGTAGTATAATCACTAATTAGTGGTCTGCATCATTTTTCGGGAAAATAAAGATGAACCCATGGAAAATAATTTATACTGAGTAACTCTAAAAGATTCATAATAGCAAAATAAAGATAAATGAAAAGAATGAAAAGGTAGTAGTACGTAAAATTTATAATTTATATCTAATTCAAGAGCAAGGAATTTGACTGGGGTAGGGGCCAGGCCTCTCATAATTTCTAAACACTGTTAAAATAATGTGTAAATTATAAAGATATCTTTAAAGTTTGTTTACAAAACGAATGGGTCCATATACTTTTGAAAATTAAAATTTTTTATTAATAAATTATCAAATTAATTAACAGTTTTTAATATTATCATAAATATATTTTAATTAATAATTTATGCAATTTTATTGTTATATAGAATAGTAGTTAGAAATTTTATTTTTCTATTACTTTTGATAAATAAAAATTTCTGAAATGAAAGTATTTTTAATTTTCAAAATCACAAAGAATAATTCCTGTTTTAAACAAAAGGCATGAGTATATTTGTATTTTATTTAAAAATAATTATACATTTTTTTCGAGGAACATACAACTTTTAATAATTTAATTATTCTTTTATCAATATTTTAAAAAAGGATTTGGCTTCTCTTAAGTTTCTTATTTTAACTGAAGAGAGTTTTTGAGTTTAGTAGGCTTATTTTGGGGATCGATTTTGATAATTTAAATCATTCACTTTTAGGACTTATTAAGTAGAATATTTACACAAAAAATTAATATCGATAGTTATATGTTTGAATTAAATTTATATTATAAAAAATGAATAGTTATTTTTGAAATTATATTTGTCGTTAATTTTTAAAAACAAATATGATTCAAACATACAAATATTGATATTCAGAGCTCGTTTGGGAAGTGGGTTGGCTTTTTAGCTTTTTTGACTATTTTAGCCTTGAGCTAAAAAGCCTGATTTGGGAAGGATTTTTTATTTTTTTAGCTTTTTTGATTTTTTTTTTGAGAGAAAGAATGTAATGATTATGGGTTGGATGTGATATTTTATCTTATTAGACTAAAAAACTTATTTTATTTTTTGTGACTATTTTAGGCAATAAAAACCTTAAAATCAACTTCCCAAACAGAAGCTCAACCTCAACCAATCTTAAAAAATAAACGTTTTAAATAACTGAAATTGATTTTAAAATAAGCCTAAATGCTCTGTTAAATTAAAATGGCAATTTAAAAAAAAGAATCATACCCTTTTGAGAAATATTTAGGTGAAACGAAGGGACAGAATAAATAAAAGTAGATGGGTGTCTATGATTTTTACCTCCACTCACTCAGTCACTCAGTCACTGGACTTTGTGTTTTTACTCTGGTTTATCGCCGACATGTCGACAACTTGGATGTAATAAGTAGCTGTCAGACTTGGAAATTCTAAATTGCAAATTTTTTTTATATTTTATTTTGCACCAAAGTTTTGAGATAGGTCCCATCGCAAATGTCGCCTGAGTAAGAAAATAAATTCCAGAAATCACTGTCCTAAGTATATTTACATAAAGAATAATGGTTGAGAGTTCGAATTTGGCCCCTTTTAATCTCTAATCTCCAAAACGACGTTGTTTTGGAGATTTTTTTTTTTTTTTCTCTTTTCTTTTTTCTTCTTCCATGTTCGACTCTGCAGCAGCTCGGAGGGAGAGGGAGAGAAAGAGAGAAGAAGAGGGGAAGAAAGAAGAGATCGTCACCCAGCACGTCGCCGCCGATCGCCCAGCCCGTCGCCCAGCTCCGATTGTCGCAGCAGCTCCGCCGTCGCCTCCGACCCCGCCTCCGCTTCCGCCTCCTCCCACTGTTATAGCCTCCTCCAGTCCACTCCTCCTCCTTCCTCCTTCCTCCTCCTCCCTTCTCTGCTTCTGAAAAAAAAAACCAAGATTAGGAGGATTCGGGGGAGCTCGTTTTCGAACTCCCTAGCATGGTCGCTACATAAAACCCCATATGTAAATATGTGTATAGGATATTGAACTTTGAAGATGATAATGGAGTTATAAAACAAATTTAGTTATTTTAATTTGATTTGTATTTTTCATTGTCAAATTTATATGTATTGTTTGAAATCAAGATATTTGAGTTAAGTTAAATTTAAATTTATTTGAGATCAATTTAAAATATAAATAATTATAATTTAATTATATTTTAAAATTTATTAAAATAAATAAGTCAAATATGAATGGTCTATTATTCGTCTCACTCAGTCCTAGATTATTATCATCTAAAGGAGAGATACGCACTTTCCTTTTACAATTAGTGTACATTAGACCGAAGATAAATTCAACTCTACAAAAATTGACATCCAACTAACAAAAGGTAACTTTTTATTTTTGATTTTTTGATTATGTGGTGTGTACATGCGCGAACCCTACATTTAACACTTTAATATCATGACAAGAATAAAAAATAATAAATCATATATAAATAACAATTATCTTAAAAATAAAATAAAATAATTTATTTATTTGGCATTGTTGGAACATATGTCGCAAAACCTTTAAGTTCAATTGATCTGGGTAGGCCAACTTTTTTTTATATTTAATTTGGTTTTTATGGCCATGGGGTTGGATTATTATTTGTTCTTTGAGTGGTGTTTGAATCAGTTTGGTCGAAATGGGATAACTATTCAAAAAGCTCCATTAAACGACGATATATCGATTAAATTATAAACTAGTAAATTATAAAGTTGGTGTGCATATAAAAAGTGTTCATGAATGGAGAAATAAATGTTCCTATGATATTGTATGTGAAAAATATTCATGTATTTAGTACTCATGAGTCATGATTGAAGAATGCTACTAATCATCATTAGATGATTTTATTCTGATTTGGTAATATTTTTTTAACAGATTTTTTGTTTTTATTTTTTTAAGAAAAAATTGTTGCTAAAAAAAACTAATGTGTTTAATAAATGAGAAATTCTATTATATATACTCTTTAGTTATGTAATTTTATTCTTTACTTATGATTTTATTTTAATTATACTCATAAATCTTTGGTTATGCTTCATGCGTTGTTCGGTTATGACTTTTTTTTTTTTTTTATAATTATGACTGAAAAAATATAAAATTATGTTATTTTCTTATTTAATTATAAAGTATATACGGTACATACCCTTTAAAAAATGTGTACCATAGTTTCTCTCTTAACAAACAAATGTTTAAAAAGTTTATTTTTATTGAGAAAGTTGAGTGGGTTCTTAATTTTTATCGTTAACTTTTATTTGAGACCTACTGAAATACCCCCGGTGGGGGTCGCACCCCTAGTGAGGTGGCGCGCCCCCACTGGCTGACAACCAAAAAAAAAAAAAAACAATTTTTTTTCGCCCAATCACGGGCCTCTACCTCACTGAGGGTCAACCCCCAGTGGGGGTATAAAGCATTTTTGCTTTTATTTATATCCAAAACACTACTACTTTTTCTTCTTCATTTTGTGGCTTAATTAGCCAAAAAAGTGGCTAAAAAAATTGAAACCAAACGGAAAAGCAATGTTATATGTGATATATAAAAATAAATTTTTCACATGATTTTATTATTATTAGACACAAAGTTGTGAATCCATATTAGTAATCACACGACTCATATCTTTATGTCTAATGATAAAAAAATAATAATAATAAAAATATCATTTATGTATAATATTTTTTCTTTAAAACTCTCTGAGGTATATGAATAATTTTTTTGTAATTTTTGCAGTCATACATGTGTATGTAACCTACATAATACCTCTAATACCACTTCTTATTTAAGGTAATTTTTATGAGAACGACCTCAACTACAAAATTATACCTTAAATTATTTGAAGTTATGTATGGCACCATATGGTAGCTTAATTTCACCCAAAAAAGCAAAAAAAAACTTAATTTGTATTAGATAAATAGAAATTGAAGAAATTATATATTTTTTTTAATTCAAAAAAAATTATATATACAATGATACTAAAACTTGAAATCAGACATCAAACTTCATTAACCCAACTTTTGATTAGTCTCAAGGAACTAGACTATACCCTATCTATATCTTTGATTCTTTGCTTCAATCAAAGGCCATGCTAAACTAATTAAAGGTCTATCTTAGTTGATTCCCTCGTATATATGGTTTTTTTGACAAGTGAGTTAAAAGTCACTTTTCAATTTTTAACTCATTTTTTATCACATCATCTTTTATATTTGTTGCATATTTTTATTTTAAAAAAATCAAAAAATAAAAATAAAAATTCAACTTTTAATTATCTTCCTAAAATGCCATATAGTCGGCACTCCCAAAAGCTATACAAAACTAATGTTATCTGCTTGGGGGAAACTCTCACCAACAAGCATGCTTGTGGCGATTCCTTGCACACTTTGTATGGGCTTAGATTTTTATGGGTCATACTAAAAAAAAGTAGGAGAATAACACAATTAAAGAAGAATTTTTTTAAGTCAAATGATCAAGTGCATGCGGCCCTCATGATTAGAGAGGCAATCATTGGTTTATCATACATACAAATGTGTATCAATATAAAATATATACAATAGATTATGTTTGTTTGTTTGGACATTATGGATTAAATGAGTTTAGTTTCTATAAGACTATTAGTTTTATAAAACTTAATCTCTTTAAATTATGTATCTCATCACATGTTTGAATTATAAAGTGAGATTAATAAAATCCTATCAATTTTACAATTTAGTTAATTAGTCCGAATCTCTCCTTAATTTTCGATTTTGTCTCTTACCCCCTCTTAAAATTCAATAGTCTCCTCATAATATTCTTAGCCAAATATTGAATTATGTATTCTGTTAAATTATTAGTTCAATCTCGTATCATATTTGCCCAAACAAATATAATCTCTCAATTTCTTTTCATTTCACTCTATTTCTTTCGTCTTTAGTAATTCAAACAAGTTATATGAACCAAAAGATTTTTTCAAATCACCCAAACCAAGCTACTACAACTAATGGAAAAAAATTCATCTACGGTTGTATTGAACCAATATTTTTTACATTGAACCATTGAATAAACTAATTATAAGAGGTTTGCAAGTTCCATATCACCTCTGGAGTTCACTATTGAACTCGCAAGTCTCTCACTCTCGTGACGACTAGTGAGTCCACTTATTGATAGAAGTCTAGTTCATGTATATATATATATATATGATTTTTTTTTTTACTCTAATAAATAAATATATAGTATCATATTATTGGACAAAACAGAATAGCTTGTCCGTATAGATGAGGTAAGTACGCCAAGAATATTATCAGGCATCTAAGGTGTTATTTGGAATAATTTAAATAAGTGTATTTTTTGACTTTTTATGAAATATGAGTTGGGTTTGAACTGATATGTTAGAGAGGTGATGTGATTTAAATAGGATGATATCACTACAAGAAATGTCACTTTTGGCTACCAAAATATTGGTCGTCAAAAGTCACTTATTTAGTCGCCGAAACGATTTAGCGGTCAAAATTTTTCGTCGCTAAGCTCGTCGCCTTTACCCTGTCGGCGATAGTATTAGCGACTAAAATTTGTTTGGTCACCGAAAGTGTACACATTTGGCTACTAATCTTAGTTTAGTCGGCAAAAGGTATGTTTCCGCCACTAAAGTATTAGTCGTCGAATCAGGCTTTTTGGCTACTAACTTGTTGTGGTCGGAGAAGGTATCACTTTTAGCTACTAAATAATTGATCGCCGAAAGTACAAATTTGGCTACTAATCTTAGTTTAGTCGGCAAAAGGTATGTTTTGGCCACTAAAGTATTAGTCGCCAATAGTTTCTTTCTCCCATTCTCAAATCTTTTAGCTACTAATTATTTGGTGGCAAAAACATTTTGGGTTATGTTTTTGCTACTAAATTATTAGTAGCCAAAAATTTTGATTACCTATTTGGCTACCAAAACATTTGGTGACCAAATAATTTAATGTTTTTTTTAAAAAAAAATAAAAAAAAATTGTAAACAACCTGTATTTATTTATATTACAACTTTCATTTGTTTGTAAACAATTTTCATTTGTTTGTCTAACGTACAATATGAGAGATCAAACAAGTTCCTTGAACATTCAAATCTACAAGTTTCATTCAATCTCAGGTAGATATAGCTATGCAAATTGGGAGCTCAAATCTCACATTTGCAAGAAGAAAAAAAATTACACATTAAGCACAATTTCTAAGTTATAACTCAAAAATTAAAGTAAAATCCAATATAATGGCCAAAGGGACCATTTAGAAAATACATGTACATTAAAGTGACAAAAATTGGACCATCCACTTAAATAGCAATGTGTCTAAGTAATACAACACAGCCATTACTAGCACACATTTGTTAACAGTTAACTACAAAACCAAAAGAAAGAATTGTGCTCATTTTGAGAATTGTGCTCTATTCCCAACAGAAGGAAAGGTGGAAATGGCATGAAAGATAGATTCCATTGGGCATTTTGTTAAAGACCATATAATGTCAAAAGGGTTAGAATTTCAATACACAATTCATATATTTCTATACATTTTCTACATATTCGAATCTACTTTTTACACATATACCCCATTAGATGGGGTGGTTAGCATTTCCTTTTTGGGGAATTACTTTTCCTAAAACAAGATACCCTCAAAAGTTCAACGAAATGCCATTGCTTCTGCCTTCTGCACTGGATCTCCAAAAATTGCATCGTTTACATGAGCAATACTTGTTAACTCCTTATATATCTTATCAAAAACACAAAACAAAAGTGAAGAGCAACCAAGGTCAGTTCCCTCACACACACACACACACATATATATATATATATATAATAGTTTTTATATAAAGATGTGGTTACAATATCTAAAAGCCACCAATCATAAATTATTTAAAACCCATTACATTCTTTCTTGACATTAGAAAAATGGACATAACAACCCTAAATAGGGTAATATAATAAATAAATAAATGAAAATCTGTCAGAAAGTTCCTAGAACACATGCATTTTACACAAATCTGTCAGACAGTTCATAAAGCACAGGTGCATCTTACATAAAGATGCATTTCAGTTCCTTGAGCCCTTGACCTAAGATGAGTTTTTTAACTGATTATATATGCCCCTTCATGTTTCTCTCCTCTCATTCCTTCTGTCTACTGAGAACAGGCACAAACTGTTAATAAAGGATAGACGGATAGAAAGACAAGGATTTCTAATACCTTCGCTCTGTTGAAGCAAGGACTAGCCCATGCACCCAGTCATGACTTAAATGATAATCCTATTATTATTTGAAGGACATTAAATCCTTTTGGCTAATTATGAACTATATAATTTGATAAAGAATTTTGAAATCCCAATTGGTGATAGATACAGTAATACTTATTTTATGACAAAAGCTAAGAACTCCATACCTTGGATTAGATCAACATACTGCATACTCTCCCTTGGATAATATGAATGTGGTTATTGCTAAGGATTATTTTAAATTTTTATTATGATAACTTTTATGATGGAAGATATGAGACAAATAACTATAGTCTATATTCTATAACCTATTACCACAATGGAAGGGCATGGGATATGTTCCCAGGCACACTGGAAAATAAATAGATAAATATGCATACTAACCTCACCAAACCCCACACTTCCATCTTCAAGTGACAACACTACAATAAAACCTTCTTGTAGCAGCTCATAGGGTTATAGTATACAGAAGTTGAAGTAGGTGGGGCACATAGCTGAATTCTGTCACAACAAAAGTTCAAAAAAAACATATATTACACATTTCACGAGTTTGAAAATATTATTTAGAGATATTTAAAACTCAATCCAATAAAACTCACCTACAGAGAGAGTATTCCATTTTACAAATTTCAACAAGAAAGAAGCCATCTAACTTATAATCCAAAATTGAAAGCCTTCAAACAAGGCTTAAGGCATTGTCTGCTGCTTGACATGCAAATTGTCTCAACTTACTGAGAAGAAGGGGAGGAAATGTGTTAGCAGGTCATGGAGGTGATATGTGTGTGAGGCAATATAGGTAAATCCCTCAAACAATGATACAATCTGACTACCTGTGGAAAGTAGCATTGGCATCAATAGAGCTCTCAATCGAGATCCACTCTTATAAAATATGATCACTAATTTAAATTTAGTCTAAATGGCAAGAGTTAGAAAGGTCACCTAAGATACTGTTTGGTTCACTAGATGAAATAGAATGAAATGATCATTGCATCAAAATATTTATTCTCATATTTGGTTGACAAACAAAAATAGTGAAAAATACGCTGAAAATATAACATCATATACCAATGTAATGGAATGTTCATTCCGTAAGGAAGATTAAGGAATAATCATTCTATTCCATTCTATCTCATCCCAATGAACTGAATAAAGCATAAATATATATAACTAGATCATTCATGATATTTTTTGTTTGGTTTCAATAAACAATTTTTTTTTTTTTTTAAAAAAAAAAATACCATAGGAGCACCAAACAGGGTCAATTTCAATGAATAACATGTTGTAAAAGATTTGTATTTTAAATCATATAGTACTGAACCTAAGTTAAGCTAGCATAAATGACAGGACATACAATTCCCTTCATGTCTCCACATTTGATCAAATCCCTAACAAGGCCATGGATATCGCAGCGAGCTGAAAAGTTCACGACAGCCTAGCGATCGATCATTGTTGGGTCCACTAGTTTCTACACCAGCAAAGAAAAAATTTGTAAGAACACAAAATTAAGGTTGAACTGTGCCAAGAAAAGATGTGTAGAAATATACCTTCGCCCAGGCTGGCTTTCTCCATTGAAATATTTGACATACCTCTATGAAAGCAGAGGAAAAAATTAAGCTGAATGAGATAAGATGTAAGGAAGCTCATTGAAAAAAAATAAAATGCTGCTTCGCCCAGGTATGATAAGTTGTTCTGACCATCCTCTCTTACCAATCAAAACTTAAATTATTCAAGATGACTATCATGACATGCAAATTGATTATGGAATTACAAATGCACTAGACAAGCACAAGTAAACAGCTACTGTTGTCTAGAAATAAGAAGAAAATACTTGACATGGCCTCTGCAAGCAAACTAGAAATGAATAACCATAACAGTTGAACACCAGAAGTGGGTTCTTGGTACCATCATATCTGACATCAAACATTTCAAGATGACAGTTGCTATAAAATTGAAGATGCAATATTTTTGTACTAGCATTATAATGCCTATACACTCAGTTTTGTATGTATAAGTAGTAACAATGGATGTCATTACCTTGTGTTGGGTTTCAAAGAACTTGATCACTTCTTCCATGTGGTTTCGGTAGAGGCCCTGCATCAAAATTTTCAAATAGTCTTAGATGTTATTATTATAACTTATAAATGAAATATGATTAGTAAAATTTGCCTGCAAAAACTGTAGTTTGCTTACCCCAACATATCCAAAAAAGCCAGAGCTCATATCACCAGCAGGGAACCCCATAGCAATTATATGTTAATGTGACTAGACCTAATCTCGGTCATGATGGTTGAAGATGATGGCATAGACAGCTGAATTGCGAAAAACAGTACATGAAGCCAACAAGAAGTAAATAGAATAAAAAGCCTTATTTTTTTAAGTCTAACCAAACATAAGAATGAATATTTTGATGGAATAATCATTTCATTCCAATGAACCAAACACTATCTAAGTCTCTAATAGATTATCTGCAAATTATGAATTACATTCACATAATCCATTGATTTTGCAAATTGTTTACAACCCAATCTCCTCATCAACACATTGAATAAATTTGATAAATTCAATCCATAACCCGCAGTGAGCCATTCATTTTAGCTGGGCAAATGAATGAGTGCATTGAAACCAAAAAATCAAAATTTCATAAATCAAAGCATTAATAGAAAACACAAGCAGATAAAAATGAAGCCAAAATGGAAAAGAGTGAGAGCTAAAGGAGTGTTCTCACACACAAGCCAAATCCACCTTCACCTACTAGACATTCCTGTCTGAAATTCTTTGTTGCTGTGGCTAGCTCACGGAAAGTGAAGGTTTGTGCTGCAATATTGTTGGCAGCTTCTTTAGGGGCATCTTTTTTTATTGGAGCTTCAGCTGGGGCCCTTCTAGGAATCTCTGCACCCAATTCAAAAATTGTGTCCAAATTTTACCCAAAAAATAGGGAAAAAAAATCACTCAAATGATGGAACTATGAGGTGATCATTGTAAAATTCAATAAGTGATTTGATACTAGCAAGCCAAAACCCCTCATATCATTTGACATAAAATTTACAATCTATGATCATCTCAGCCAAATAAACCAGAACAAAACTAATGTTCCATGAGCTTTTACTGTCATATTGATTAAAAAAGAAGGGCTAAATAATTTTCAACATCATCTCAAACAAATGATGGATCAATTAGATGACAATACAATAACTGCTGAATGTTTTTTCAGTATTGCCCTTCACATTCAGTAACTTCTATATCTAAAAACTACGAAATGGGTTTTTTTATTCATCAAATTGTCCAAAACTACGAAATGGTTTTATCATTTATCAATTTGCCCCTCAATCATGAAACTATTTAAAAGTTAAATGTAAAATTGTAAACCCATTGTGTTTGAACCAACTGCTAGTATATATGTATTGGTAATCTAAGATTGCAAAGCTACTTACTGGGCTGTGGCAGTGCGGGGGCTTCTTTTTGTTTTGGAACAATAGTATCAGGAACAGGTTCCCTCTTTTTGCTGTTTAATCTCTTTGCTGATTTCTCTCTGTGGGACGAAAAGCACGAAAAACAACTCATGTTTTCAAGCCAATTGAATCAAACTGGGACAAGATTTCTTCACAAATTTCCTCACAAACAGAGAAAACACCATTCCAAACCAATCCAATAAAAATCATATTAAAACAAAATGAATAACTAATAAAAAGCAGAGTCACAGCTACGAATCAAATCCAAACCGTTAATTTGACCTGCACATACAAAGATATTGAGAAAACAGAAGAACCCATCTGGATATGTGTGTTTTGAGAGATACCCAGATGGTGTTCTGGACTGAGAGAGGCATTGTTTCAAACTGCTTCTGAGCCATCGTAGTTACGAAGAAAAGCATAAATTCAACAAATGGAAGAAAAAGAAACCCCATCGATTTGGGGTCGGGTATGTGTGAAGGTATGCAAATGAAAGAAGAAAACCCTAGAGACTGAAATTAGGGGAAGAGAGACCGAAAGATAGAGAGAGGACATACCTGGGGATTGACGGTGGTACTCGTGTGCGATGGCGGTGATGCTCCGGTAACGATGGAGACAAAAGCGAGAGAGAGAGAGAAAGACAGAGAGAGCGGGAGGAGAGCAGAGGCAGACAGAGATGTATGAGAGAGTTAGAGCGTGTGGTGTGGGAGTGTACTTCTTAAACCTAGTTTATTCTTTCCCGACAAACGTTTTTAGTCGCCCATAAGAAATAAAGCCTTTTCTCCGACGAAAATGTTTAGTAGCTAATTAATTTTGCCCCCCAAAATCTGAAGTCCAATTTTTAAAATTTTTAATTATAATTGCCGACTAAAATTTGGTCGCTAAAAGTAAATTAAATACCGACTAAATAATTTTTCGACTAAATATAAATTAAAAATATTAAATTATCTTAAATATTTGTCCTAATATGTTTTTTTACTGAAAAATATAATAATATATTTTAAAATATTATATTCTTATATTTTCTTATATTCTTATATTTTAAAATTTTATGACAGATAATAATATATTCTTATATATTTTAAAATTTTATAAGAATATATTGGGACTCCTGCATGACTAACTAGGCACTAATCAATTTGATTTAGAATTTTAGAACATGCAATATGTATATTTTGTCATAGATAAAGACAGATGAAGAAATCATGTGTTAAGTGGATTTAATTAATTTATTATTTAGTTGTAACTAGTTTATTATATTAAATTTTAAATCACAAAATACACCCAAACTAAATTTTTTAATTTTCATTCGGCTACCAAACAATTTAGTAGCTAAAAGTAGGTGTACAGCGACTAAACGTTATTTTGTCGCTGAAAATATATGTTTGGCGACCAAAATTTTGGTCGCCGAATATCAAAAATAAATTTTTTAATTTTTATTCGACTACCAAACAATTTAGTAGCCAAAAGTAGGTCTACAGCGACTTAACGTTATTTTGTCGCTGAAAATATATGTTTAGCGACCAAAATTTTGGTCGCCAAAGATCAAAAATAAATTTTTTTATTTTCATTCGGCTACCAAACAATTTAGTAGCTAAAGGTGTCCCTACGGCTACTAAAATTGATTTTAGTCGCCAATTGTGATATGTTTAGCTACTAAAAAATTTTTTGGTGGCCAATTGTAATATTTTTAGCTACTAAATTTATTTTAGTCGCCAATAATCAACATTCCCCTACTAAAAAAAATTAGTAGCTAAAAAGTTAACTTTTGCCGACTAAAATTAATTTAGGTAGCCAATTCCCACACTTTTGGCAACTAAATTTGTTTTGGTAGCCAAAAATGGTCGCCAAAAATGTGTTTTCTTGTAGTGTATGACTTAAATAGGATAGTGACTTTTTAAGGTGCCGTTTGGTAACACTTATGTTTTCAGTTTTCTGTTTATATTTATAAAAATTTTAAAAACTCAAATAAAAACTTGTTTGGTAAAATTTTTGATTTATAAATCAGTGGTCTCAGTTTATAAATTTGGCCAAAAAATGAAAACACAAAAATGTGTTTTCATTTTGAGCTTTCAGTTTTTTTTTTTTGTCACCCAACATTAGCCACCACCCGACACCATTTTCCACCACCGTCTTCTGCCACCACCACCCACCCTCCACCACCACCTGCCACCACCACTCACCACCCACCTGCTACCACCAGCCACCACCCGCCACCACCACCCACCAGCCACCCACTCGCCACCACCACCCACCTGCCACCCACTCGCCACCACCACCCACCTACCATCTACCCGCCACCCGCCACAACCATCCACTGTCCGGCACCTACCGGCTACCATCACTCAGTACCCATCTACCACCACCATCCACCACCCGCCACCACCAGCCACCCACCACCACCACCCGACCAGCCCTAAATAGGTGTGATTGTATAAAATATTTCAATTTGATTTTTATATAAAATATACAATTCCCAAATCCACGCCTCTATTCTACCCGTGAATGATAGAGACGACTCACTACTAGAAAAATGAGGCTTTAGACACGAAACTTTTTCACCCATTTTTTCATCTTCCTATTTCTCTGTCTCCGTCTCTCTTCTCTCTCTCTCACTCATCACTCTTCTCTATCTGTCTGTCTCTCTCTTTCTCTCTGTGTCTCTGTCTCTCTTATTTTTCTCTCTCTCACTCATCACTCTTCTCTGTCTGTCTGTCTCTCTCTTTCTCTCTGTGTCTGTCTCTTTTATTTTTCTCTCTCTCACTCATCACTCTTCTCTATCTGTCTGTCTCTCTCTTTCTCTCTGTGTCTCTGTCTCTCTTATTTTTCTCTCTCTCACTCATCACTCTTCTCTGTCTGTCTGTCTCTCTCTTTCTCTCTGTGTCTGTCTCTTTTATTTTTCTCTCTCTCACTCATCACTCTCGCCACCACCCACCACCACCAGCTACCCACCACCCACCGTCTTTCGCCGCCACTTGCCGCCACTTGCTATTTTTCACTCTTTTTTATATTTTTTAAATTTTGTAAACATTTTGTCAATTACCAAACGCGTTTGTAGTTTATGTTTTTCTAAAAATAAACAAAAAATAAACAAAAATCAGTTTATAAAATTTTTGTAAATATAAACTAAAAACGTAAACGTTACCAAACACACCCTAATTTTTTAACTTTTTTCAAACATGTCAAATCAATCCTAAATGTTCAATCAAATTCCAAAAATGAAACGAATCGGGTTATAAATAACCAAATAATTGTTCCGACAGTATAGAGTGGTTTCAACTTAAAAAGTCGCTTCTGGCTAAGCCATTTTAAAGCGGTACACTGTGGTGGACCAATTTGAAAAGTCACTTCTAGCTGTGGTGGGTGGGACGATGTTTAATACATGAGAGGGAGAAGAAGTATTATGGGTGGTCCATTCGTGCATGGTGTATATATATATATATATATATTAGTGATTAGTACACATAATAAGGCCTAGTTTGGCATGAAATGAAAAAGTGCACTTATTTCATCTTTTTATTTTTTTGGGTCACATCAATCAACATCTCCTCTCTACTTTTTCTATACATAATACAAAAAAAGTCAAAAAGTACACTTATTTAGTCTTTCCAAACTAGGCCTAAGTATGTAATTTAAATAAATAATAAATTAATTAAATAATATTATAATGTGTATCTTGTTCAAGTAATAAATTTTTTTTTTCTCCTAAACTCAAAGTCAAAGTTTTGAATCGCCTTCACTTAATATAGTAATGTATATACATATATATTGGTGTATAATAGAACTTTTATATAAATTTTTGAATAATGATTTGTAGCTCGAAAGTTCTTCTCCCTAATCTCCTGAATGCCCAAAACGACGTCGTTTTGGGCTTTTTTTTTTTTTCTGTAACAGAGGGAGAGAGAGAGGGAGAATCAGAGAGGAGGAGAGGGAGAGAAGAGAGGAGGGGAAGAGGTAATGGAGGGGGAACGGAGAGAGAGAGAGGCCCTTCGATCGTCGTCCCGCCGATCGTCGCAGCTCACTTCGGTCGTCACAGCTCAGCTCCGATCGTCGCAGATTGCCCCGCTTCTACCTCCGCCTCCGCCCCGCACTGGTTAATGGCCCCTTCAGTCCTTCTCTTCTTCTTCTTCTTCTTCTTCTTTTCTGATTTTCTTCTTCCTCTGGAAAAATAAAATAAAATAAAATAAAAACGACGAAAACGGCGTCGTTTTCGTTTCGGGGAGATTCGGGGGAGCTCTTTCGAGCAACCGATCACTATCGTAAATTTTTTAGGTAAAATGATATGGGAACAGCGTTTTTAAAATTATTAGTCTAAGTCTTCGTTTGGTAATTTGGATTGGGTTGGGTTGGGTTGGACTAGGTTGGGTTTGAAGTTATTTTAGTAATAAAAAAATAAAATAGATTTTTTAGTTTAATAAGACAAAATGTCACATCTAATTCAAAATCATTACATTTTTTCTCTTACAAAAAGTCAAAAAAATTTAAAAGTCTATCACAAACGAGACTTTTTAATACCAGGCTAAAATAGTCAAAAAACCAAAAAAGTAAAAAAGTCAACATACTTCTCAAACGAACTCTAAGTGATAGATATTTTGTTTTAAATGATGAAATCACAATTAACAATCAGTATGTTTGGTTTTAATTTTTTAGAAATTGAATTTTTTGTTTTTCGTATTTTTTTTGTATTTAGTGAATATTTTAAAATTTTAAGTAATTTTTTTACTTTTTTAGATGAACTTTACTGAGATGTATCTAAATAGTAAAATATTTGTAAAAAAATATTTTAAGAAATTAATAAATATACAAAAATACAAAAAATGTATTGAATTTTGTTTTGTTTTGTTGTTGTATTTTTGGTATTTAGTGAATTTTTTTTTAAAAAAAATTCATAAATATTATACTTTTTAAGTGTATTTATGTTAAGTGTGTCTAAAAAAATTTTAAAAAAAATTTGTTTAAAATATTAAAAAAAATCATTGAAAACAAAATAATAATAATAATAATAATAAAGTAGAATTTTATAAAAAGTATTTTTTAAAAATCAAAACCACGCAAGCTAAATATTATTATATATAAAAATTTCATATAAAAAAATTATTTATATATCATTACTCTCATATATATTGATTGCAAATCTTTGTTAAAGCTAATCCTAATCTTAGGCATCATCATTCCTATGGCCACAATAATCTCTTTTAAGGATCGCCACGGTCACATATAAACTGAATTATTTGAATGGTTTACAAATTTTTATTTTATTTTATTTTGAGAATTTATATGTTGAAGTGTTTGGCGTCACAATTTTTTTTTTTTTGTTTTTTTCTTTCTAGTCGGGCAGGGAATGCAATAATTTTTTTATAATTATAGTATTGCTTGCATTTTAATATCTGATTAATCCTTTAGGGCATGTTTAATTGACAAAAATTAGAGTATGAGATTGAAATTATTAATCTGTGGGTCCAATAATTGTATATTTATTTTGAAATTTTATTTCAGAATTATTAATCCAATTGATAGTTAATCCAACAAATTTGTAAGATTATTAGTAATGGGGTAGATGTGAGCCTGAAATAGGAAATAAAATAAAAAGACTCTTTTACCCTTGACTAAAAATTAAAACACTTATTATTTTTATATAATTTTATATTTTAGAAGGCTAAAAATAATTTAAAAATATTTTTTGATATTTATTTTATCAAATTAGTTTATATTTAGAAAAAAAATTAAAAACAAACCAAACTAAACATAGCCTTTGTATTTTGTATTTTTATTTTGCTTTTATTTATTTATTTATAGTTTTTTTGAAAACTACGTTTATGAGAAAATTTTTATAAAGTAAAGATTGTGAAAAAATATTGATGGAGGGCAAGATTGGAAAATAAGGTCACGTTTGTTTGGCGAATTAGGTTTGATGGAATTATTAGTGAGAGAATTGTTAGTGAAAAGATTGTTAATGTGTGGATTGTTAGTGACAGGTTTAAATAAAAGTGTGTTTATTTTGATGATAATGTGAGAAATGATGGTGTGTTTGGTAACGTTTACGTTTTCAGTTTATATTTACAAAAATTTTATAAACTGGTTTTTATTTATTTTTTGTTTATTTTTAAAAAAACATAAACTACAAACGCATCGTGCCAATTTTCTTCATTTTTGAAGGACTAGGGTTTGTAGAGTATGTCATTTGCTTTCGCTACTCAATGTTTGGCTCTTGAGCTGAGCTTTATTTGTCTCCTAGACGTTCTTCTTTTTCTTCTTCTTAATAAATTTCTACAGATTTTTGTATTAGAAAAAAATGGGTTCTCATTTGTTCATCCTCAGTAGTTTGATGTTGAATTTACTAATGAAGCTAGATTGTACTGTTTCTTTGAATGCAGGCAGGAAGATTTGAACCACGGCAGTGACACTTTTTCTACTGTTTTTCAATGAAGAAATTAGGCACATTAAAACTAATTTTTTTGGCAAAATTCAAATGCATAGGATAAGTATATAAATATATTTGCATACATGTTGGTAAGTTAATTTTGATATTTGTATTGTGAAATTATGTTTGTTAGTGTAAAGGCATCTATGTACATGAGAATAGTTACACAAAATTGAAGTCATCTTGGTATTTAGGTACACCTAAATGGTGGGTTAAATACCCGTTAGTGTCCGTCCGTAAGTAAGTTAATGATTTTTTCTTTTCAATTTTCCACTATAATAGGTGTGTTAAGTCAAAAGTTAGTTTATAAATTTGTTGAGTCAAAAGTTAACAGGAGCATATCCATGCAACCAGACTCTACCCTTTCTTTTTGAATTTATTGAGATTCAATACAAACTCACTATAGTCTTCCATAACATTCTACAATGTTGGGAGCATCTAGAAGATTTCAAAAAGTTACAAAGAAATTCAGAAGGTTCTAGAATGTCTTGGAAGAATTCGTAACATTAGAGAACCTTTAAAGAAGTCTAGAGAAATTCAAATGATTCTGGAAGGTTTTAGGTCACGATTGTTTGGTAAATTAGGTTGGATGAGATTGTTAGAGATAGGATAGTTAGTTAAATGATTGTTAATGTAGGGATTGTTAGTGAATGGATTAAATAAAAGTGTGTTTGTTTTGATGATAGTATGAGATATGATTAGTGATTGGATTGTTAAATTATTTTTATGTAAAATAAATAAATAAATTATTTCTATATTAAAAAAAACTAAAACAAATAGATACACTTGGTAAAAAAAAAAAGCCCCCTTACTATTTTTCTAATCTCATCTAAAATTCATCCAAGTTAATCCCCCTACAGATGAAATTACTAAGCCCTCTACACTACTAATCCTATGACATTTTATTGCATCCAAACAAGGGTTTGGTGGGTCTGACAGATTGGTAATCCAATCCACCCTCCCAAACCCCTAATCAAACATAGCCTAAGATAAATATAGTTGTAATCCTATATTTATATATTTTTTTATCCAATACAAATCAAATAATGGACAATGAGATAATTTAACTTATTAATCCAAGTGAATAATGAATACCACACTAATTTGATAAAATTATTAATTCCTTTATTATTAATCTTGCGAATCAAATATGACCTAAAAGTTTAGCGCTTTTCCACTTTACCACTTATCCTTGCACTATAAGAATGCCATTGCTTGGTTTATGTTTGCATATTGAATTTAAAGTATAATTTGTGGGAAAAAAAGACAAAAGACAAAAAAAAAAAAATAATAATTGCATTCATTTTATTTCTTTCTCTTTTTCTTTTTTTTTTTTCTTTTCTTTCTCTTTTTTTTTTTCATAAGGTTATAATCCAGATGCGTTTTTAAAATTTCTAATACCAGTAATTGAAATTGATGAATAAGATGTGGAAAAATACTAGAAATCTCAAGAAATTTGTTAAATTTTCTATCAAATGTCTCATACGGGTGTAGATGTGTGTAGGTCCTACACTCATGTGAGATATTTGATAAAAAAATTGATAAAACTTTTGAAATTGCTAGCATTACTCTAAGATATGTGCATTAACTGGCCTGAAGACATGATTATTCAAAAATAGGGCAAATTACCCACGACTTCTTTTTGAAAAGTGTTTATTATATTTAATTTAAAAACTTTTTAGATAGGCTAAAAAATCCTATGCTCATTTATCTTCTCATCTTTTCCTACACATTGCTTCTTTTCTTATCTCTCTTTCTCTAATATCAGCGACGACAACGACTATGCCTACCTTATTTTCTTTATCTTTCTAATTCATAGTTACCGACGACCACCATTGATTGGAATTCACCAATAACCATCAACCATCAACTTCTTACTTCGCACTCATTGACGGCGAAAGATGAGTTTCCGACAAAGAAGATAAATAAATCTGAGTAAATCTACGTTAGATCCAGCTATATCTAAACTAAAAAATAGTTACCGGAATACAAACATCTCTTTATATTTGTCTCTTTCCTCAAATCTCTCATTTTTTTACTTTTTATGTATTATACAACTTCTATTTTCCTGTTATAATAGAGAAAATTTTGAAGTTCTGAACAAAGTATTTTCAAGTTTTAGTTCCAGACGGTGAAAACTGTCAGATTTTACAGTTTCAGTTTTTTGATGCTTAAATGAATCATTATGTAGAATTGTAAAATTTTATAGTTTCGTAACTTTCTTTAAAACTGTAAAATTTTGCCATTTCATGGCATGCTTTTCAATTTGATTAATAAGGATAAATGCATAATGGAATCATATTTTGAACTTATAACATATTTACAGTTTCAAAACTTACTTTTCAGTTTTATCATTAAAAATTATTTGCTTAAACCTTACAAAAATTAAAATAACATATGTTTTTTTTTTCTCATTGTTGCTATTTATTATTCTTAGGTTTTTTCTTTTTTAAATTTATCAATATTTGGCACATTTTGTTATGTTTTTTCACTTTAATTTGTCAACTTATTCTCTCTTTTTTTCTTACAATATTTTGGACATTCCGATGAGTCTCCCGTGATATTCTTGATGTCTAGCGAACATTCTAGACATTCCAATGACTTCCGGTGACATTCAGAACATTCCGGTAATACTCCGGTGAATTTTCAATGATATTCCGGTAACTTCCCAGTGATGTTGAACATTCTGGTGAGTTTTCGATGACCATCTAACAGAAGCCTGGCGAAAGTGAGATGTAGCAGCGTCTTTAAATATATATTTTTTAAAAAACAAAAAAAATTAGTAACAATTAAAAATATGTAGGACTAATTGATACAAACATTTCATTTTAGGATTAGATGAGTTTTGAATTTTATATATGAGACTTACTAGTAAGTTCCAAAAAATAATTGTGATGGAGTTTTTAGGTGATCTTGCAAGTTTTTTTTGAAAGCCCAACAAATTAAGTTTGAGCCCAAGGACTAATTGTTGCTGCCCAAAGAGCATTAAAAGATGGGCCACCAGACCCAAGAAAAAAATAAATAGAAAATCACTTTCAGGGAGAGCTGAGTTAACGATGATGGAATTTAACATTAACGAACCAAACCGGAAGTGGAATGCATTTTTATTCCAGATTTTACCGGTAAGTGATACTTTTCTCAACTCTTGATTTTCTAGTTGTTTGGTGCTCAAAATTGCTTCGACATGTTTCTTTGTCGATGTATAAAAAGTTGTTGTTTAGTTTGTCTTTCATAGATTGGTTTCTTGTAGTTTCGATCCAATTAGGGTTTCCAATTTAGTTATTATTTCTGTTTTTGGTTTAAATTTACTAAAAATATGATATTACTGATCAAAATTTTTGTAATACGTGAGAAGGTTCTTCATTCATATTTTGCTCTTCACCTGCAAAAAATTTGAGCTTTTTCACTTTTGATTACTGTAAATTGTGTGAAATTAAACTCTAAGTCAATTCATGTTATGTTCTTCGTAACTATTAAAATTTGGAAGGGTTTGTTAGGGCAATCAGTGGGATCAGAATTGTTGTTTGTGTTTTAATTTAATTATCCAACATTTTGAGATTTCAAGTAGTTATGGTAATAAGATGCAAAAAAAGGAAAAAGAAAAAAGAAGCACATATCGAGCTTTATCTTGAATTCAATTCATTATTTAATAATTAAATATTAAAAAAAAGCACAGTGGGTGTCGTAAATTTGAAATGCCCAGCCCCTCATAGGGTTGCTGTGAAGTGAAACAATCATAGATTGGAAAAACTAATGGATTAAGGGAACGGAAGGTAATGTCATTCAAAGTTGTGTATTTCTTCATTCATGACACTCGGTCCCTCTTTGAGAGAATAATCATGCAGTGTTCGATTGCATAATGTGGAGCTGTTAAGATGGTTTCAATGTTTCTCTTTTGCTTTTTGATAGAATAATTTATCATGGCGGGGTTGGAAGAATTGAAGAAGAAGCTCACGCCATTGTTCGATGCTGAAAGGGGCTTCCCATCTGGATCCACCTTGGACCCTTGTGATTCTTATATGGTAAGTTTTCGTTGGGAGAAGAAGCTTGGTATATAATGGAAGTTTTTTTTCCCCCCCTAATGTGATGTTGATTTCTTTGAAGCTATCGGATGGTGGAACCGTTAATTTATTGAGCAGATCATATGGAGTATACAACATTAATGAGCTTGGGTTGCAAAAGTGCACATCATGGCCAGTAGAGGACTCGGACCATAGTGAAAAGACATATAGGTGTGCTTCTCGTGAGATGAGGATATTTGGGGCCATAGGTAGTGGTGCAAGCAGTGTTGTCCAGAGAGCTATTCATGTACCCACTCATCGAATTCTTGCTTTAAAGAAGATTAATATTTTTGAAAAGGTTTGCATACTCATTTCTAGTTTTTTATTTTTGGAACAGACATGCTCATTTCTAGTTGTTACTACTTTTCTCGATGTATCAATTTGAGTAATTTGGTTGCTGAACTATGAGATATCAACATATGTTGACTCTTTGGCCTCGTGTTAAGTCTTAGTAGTTAGTGCATTGAGAAACGATCTTTTACTTATGCAGCTGATCTTTCCAAGTTTGCTTGTGCTGCTTATCGTACTGAGCACCCATATTAAACATTCTTCTTTATGCATTGAAGATGAAGTGTTGTAATACTCAATGATCATAGGTAGAATTTTATCTTTAATGATAGTCAAGTTTGGAATATTGACATGTTCATATATGGATACTGCTTAGTCACTGACTTCTAACTGAATTTTTAGGAATGTTGCACTGATTAAAAGTACATGAGAGGCAGGGTAGGTAGCAATGGTAAATGACAATATTGACTTTCTATTTTGTCTTGCATAAAAATTTCCATGTGCATACCAGGAGAAAAGGCAACAGCTTCTTACTGAGATCAGAACATTGTGCGAGGCACCTTGTTATCAGGGACTAGTGGAATTCCATGGAGCATTTTATACTCCTGACTCTGGTCAAATAAGCATAGCTTTGGAGTACATGGATGGAGGGTCATTGGCAGATATAATACGAGTGAGGAAATGTATACCAGAACCAGTCCTTTCATCTATGGTTCAAAAACTGTTGCATGTAAGGATATTATTTATAGTTCCTGTTGAGCTTTCCTCTTCTGCATGTACTTCTTCTTTTCGTTTCTTTCTTTCTTTCTTCCTTTCTTTTTTCCAGTTATCTTTACATTTGTCATGCCTTTCGTTCAAGGGATTAAGTTACCTGCATGGAATGAGACATTTAGTTCACAGAGATATAAAGCCAGCAAATTTGCTTATAAATCTCAAGGGGGAGCCGAAGATAACAGATTTTGGTATAAGTGCTGGCTTAGAGAATTCAGTGGCAATGGTTAGTCAATAATTGATCCTTTGTTTTATTGTTCCCTGCTGCTATCTTCTCTTCTTCTTTTTCTTTAGTAGATTAAAAAACTTACCTCTGTTCAAGATTTATTACGTCCTAAATTTAAAGTGGTTTACCAGTGTGCTACTTTTGTTGGAACTGTCACATACATGTCACCCGAGCGAATTCGAAATGACAGCTATTCTTACCCAGCTGATATTTGGAGTCTTGGGCTTGCACTTTTTGAGTGTGGTACTGGAGAATTTCCATATACTGCTAATGAAGGACCTGTTAATCTTATGCTGCAGGTGACTTTCCAATCTTTTCCTATCTCAATAGTTTATGATTGCTTTCCTTTGCTTTCGGTTTAACTCTGCTTAAATTGTTATGAAAATGTAATGCAATGTAATACATTAAGTGATCAAGGTGTTGAGAAGTTGTATCCCCTTAAGGTTATAGATACACTAGCAGGAACCCCGCGTTTGTTACGCAATAGAAAAACAGAAATATCTGTGTTGCATAAAATAACTCAAATAAACTATGACTTGATCATAATAAAAGAATGCAGTAAAGAGTAATTATTTATCAAAAAACAGATAGTATATGTTGTTTTGTAAAAAAACATTTTGTGGTTCTTCATGGCAGATCCTAGATGATCCATCACCATCACCGCCAAAGAACATCTTTTCACCTGAGTTCTGCTCATTTATTGATGCTTGCCTGCAGAAGGATGCAGATGCTAGGCCAACAGCAGACCAGGTGAGCAAAAGTCATATTGCTGTGATATAGTACTTATTCAGGTCGAAACTATGTTGGAACATCACTAGAATCAATATTGGCAAACTTTCCGTGCTTCAGACATTGTCTGACACTCTAAAAACTTCGTCACAGAAGAGTCAACAGTTTGAACTTGACCTTGTTAGATTTGTATCTACTACTGCAGCTGCTTTCACACCCATTTGTTACGAAGTATGAGGATGCCGGGGTGGACTTGGGAGCATTTGTCCGAAGTGTCTTTGATCCAACGCAACGGATGAAGGATTTGGCAGATGTAAGTAACTAACTCTTCCTACTTATCAATCACTTGTCAAGTTGTGCTGACTGTACGAACCTCCTCAGAATTTGAAGAGGAATAAATTAAGATATCAAAGGCATGCATGTATCCAACACAAGTCAAGTGTGGACATTGTTGTTGATATTGTAAAGCTTCGGCCAATCAAACAAAGATGCCTATCTGCTCAAACTGCGGGAAAAAAAAAAAAAGGGGGAGCATCTTGCATCTGAATCCTGCACCCAAAACATGGATTTCGGAGCACGACCAACCACCTTATGGCCTCACTTAGGAAATTATCTATATTAATTAACAACCATTCAGTCAAACACTGTATCAGATAGTGTACCATTTGCATAATAAACTCTCCATAATTTTTATTTATTTATTTGGGAAGGAAAGTTTACAGCCTTCTGTGGTGACGTAGTGCAGTCTGTCCAAAAATGTGTTGCTGATATCTCACTCTTGTTTGCTTGACCAGATGCTGACAATACACTATTACTTACTTTTTGATGGACCTGATGAAGCTTGGCAACATGCAAAGACCTTGTACAATGAATATTCAACTTTCAGGTACTGATTCTTTTTAAATAAGTGAAGGTTAGTCTTCATACTTCAGATGAAAAGTCCCTGCTCCTAAGTTGGAGCCAATGTTTTGGCTAATCACATGAGATTTCAATGGAAGGAAGCCTCACACGTTTTGGACCAAAATTGGGAATTTCTTCACCTGGGTTGGGATGCTGGGGTTGTTATTTTCTAAAAAATTTGTCTTTCTGAGGTTGATCTCTTAACCCTTTTTTTGGGGGGGCAAAGTTGTGAGCATTTGTTGAGTGATGTGCAGAGAAGCTTCTTGCATATGTGTACCAAATTAGGAGCTGAATTCTAAACTTTATAGCTAACTTAAGATGGTCCATTCAGGGAATGCTGACCTCTGTTTCTCTATACTAAACTAGCCTTTATGCTTCCTAGTTTCTCAGGCAAAGAAAATGTTGGTCCAAATGATAGCTTTGCCACTTTGTCAAATATTCGGAGCACGTTAGCAGGTGAATGGCCTCCAGAAAAGCTTGTGCATGTTGTTGAAAAACTTCAATGCCGTGCTCATGGTCAAGATGGAGTTGCAATTCGTGTATCAGGATCATTTGTTGTTGGCAATCAGTTCCTAATATGCGGAGATGGTGTACAAGTAGAGGGTTTGCCAAATTTTAAAGATCTTTCAATTGATTTATCCAGCAGACGAATGGGTACATTTCAGGAGCAGTTTATTATGGAACCAGGAAATGTCATTGGCTGTTATGTAATTGCTAAACAAGAGCTTTATATCATCCAGTAGAAAATTAAATCGTGAGGATCGTCTCATCCAAGGTAAGTACAATTTAACACTTGTTGACAAGTTTACATGACATGATTGAAGTTAGTTTTCTAAAGCTGAATTTGAATATATCCTAACCTTTGGAAAACATCTTAATCAAATTAATATTATTTCTATCAAATGTGTTGTTAGTTGGCCACCATGACTCTCTTAAGGGCTTAGTCTTAAGGGGAGGTCATGGGTTAGGGAGAGGTCATGGGTTAAGGAGAATTGAATTAAGCACTTGGTGCTTTGCAGAGGTGGGGAAGCTAACTCCCATAGATGCTAATCTAACAACTAATATTTGACTAACACTGATCCAAAAAAAAATGTTGCTGATTACATTGGCATTGCTTCATCTACATGTAAAAAATTATCATTCCTAACTACTTTGTTGGATTTTTTTCAGGGACCCTTGTGAAGCAGGTAATCACGTCCAATCCCACGCAAAAGCTTTTAGCCCCAATTGGGACTCATTTATTGCCTCGCCTGTGTTACAATTTTTCTGGGATCATACCTTTATTGTGATTAATTTAAATTATGGGTCAGCAGCACATTCAGTGATTGTTCCTGAGTGTCATTTGGTGGTGTACGAAACTTGAATCAAGGACAGTTTTTACACGTATATATCATCATAAGTTCAAGTCAAGTTTTAATTGTGACTTGTGCCTCTGGAAATTGAATATAATGATGGGATTAATGCTTTAAAAATAAAAATAATAGTAATAAAAAATAAACCTTCAACACATGCCAAATAAAACCAAATAATGTATTCATTCCATCGCATCTAAATAAGAATAATAATACATCACCACAGCCATATTGGAGGATCGTGTGACCCATATGGTTGAACAGTCGGCCATCATGAACCTAGCTGTATACAAGTTTAGAGCACCCAGAAAAAGTCTGTAAATGTGAACTTCATGAGTATGAAAGATCTATGTGGATTCCCAAAAAAAAAAAAAAACAAAAACGAGCTCTTTTTGGTAAGATACAAGTGAATATCTGAACATCTTCGAAAGTATATGACAAATGCTTGTCTTTGTTCTCTCAAATAACACTAATCTGAGAAAATGTGACAAAAGACTGAAGAATTTATGTCAGCTGGATGTCTCCCTGGAGGAACTTGTGTTGCCCACTATACAGTTCAAATGCATGCCTGCAAAATGGCAAATCCAGAAGCAGTTTAGTTTGCCATGCGATTGAAGTGTTCTGTGATACCAAAAAAGTTACAGACACAGAATACTGTACTTGCTCCAAATTAGTTGAAGAACGGGCCTGTTCACTGTCTTCCCAAGCAAAATAACTCATGATCAAATTGTATGCATTTGTAAGAGCAGTCACCATTGTACTATGTATGATATGAATTACAAAGGGTATTATGAAGCTGCTACAAAGTAATCTCTAATTGTCTTTCTTTTCAAAGACGAAGGCGGATTTAGAACAGAAGACGGGCTCTTTAATGCAGCTTCAGGGGACTTCTCAAGGGTGTCTTGTGAATATAGTGACAATTTTTTCTTTTGGGATTCAGGTGTACCAAATTCAGGCTTTGTATTTGTGTTTATATTGGGTGAGTTGATTTGGTGCAATACTTCATTTGATGAAGAACTTGCAGATCCTTTTTCAAGTCCCGCTGGTTCTTCATCCATGAAAAGCTTTTTGCATTCCATGGTTGGTAGCGCTATTACTCTCCTTCGGATGGAAGATGGAGATCTAGTGCTAGAGTAACAACTGTTCTGGATATTCCAAAAGCACACCTACATCAGGTTAAAGATGTCATGACATAATTGTAGACATGTTCTCATATGAGCTTCATTGATTGCCTTGCTTACCGTGAAATCATCTGATGAAGTTGCTATTTTCCCTACCTCAGATTGGCACCTGCAAAGAAAAAAAAAGGTTTGAAAGTTGTTTACATGTTTGTTTGAGGGCAATTTAGGATCATTTGGATAAAGAAAAATATACCAATCTACTGCTGTAACTTCTCCATCATGGCCTTTCAGTACGAGAGGATTCGCTTGAGGTTTATTCACCTGGGTTGACACAGCTAGTTAATATTAGTCCTAAACAAAGGCAAACTCAGATGAAAGATCCTTTTGAAAGAGACCAACCTGCCATATGTAAGCATTTCCATCACCAGAACCACCAAGTATGTGAGCCGCATCAGGACTTAATGCTGACTGCAATTACATAAATAAGATCAATGCGTGAATAGGCTGGCCCACCTTTTTGCCAGTGGAGTAATCAGTATTTGGATTCATAAAACAAAGCTAACCTTTACAAAAAATGATTCAATGCGGCATCCAGAGAAAGATTTAACAGGACCCTTTTCAAGCTGGAGCACGTTATAGAGGTATATTCTGGCAAAAACAAGATATCACATGTTTCAATTTTATTTATTTATTTTTCTCTAAATTTCATCTGTGGTTATCATTTAAAGCAAGTTTGGATTGGGAAACTAGGACTGAACCCAAACTCAAGGTTACATTTGCAGATATTCATTCAGTTTGTGAAGAAACATACTAATTAGAGAAGTGAAAGATACCTGTTATCCATGCATGAAGCTGAAATATACACTCCATTTAAATCTTGTGACAGGCTAGATATGCCATGCAATCTTCTTTCCTGGAATGGCAAATTTAATTAGCAATAGTTGGTTGGTCTTTAAAGAAAGGAACTGAATATTTTGAATCTATTGAATTATTGAATGCAATTTTCGTTGACATTCATTTACTTTAGTGGAATAGACCACTACATTCTAGCTATTATGAAACATCATCTTTGTTCATCAATGTTGAGCTCACTGAAGTGAGCAGTGAAGTTGTGAACCTCAATTCCACTGCACAGTGAATACATATGGTAAATTAACATTTTGTTATGCATGTCAAACTAACCTTTTCAGTTGACAACTCATGACTAGGACATGCCTGAATAACTGGGCCTTTGAGGTTTCTGATATCCCAGAACTTTACAACACTGAAATTAATCATTAAACCAAGTAAAATAAGTAGATAATTCCTCCAAATGAGCATTATGGCATAGCTTCAACCTAAAGAACTTAACATTTAATATTATGAAATATTACGCACTTGTCAACTGCTCCAGCAGTAGCAACTGAAATTTCATCTTTTAGGTAAAGAACTGATGTGATACTCACGGAAGCAGCCTGAAAGAAATGAAGCTTTAGCAAACATACAATGGGGGTGTTTGGGAACTCAAGAACAAATAGCTTCAAATAACACCCTAACCAATGATTAAAAAAAAAAAAGCTCGGCAGTGGGGCAGTCTACACTGTCACGTTGACAGCAGTGACAGGCTACCACTGTTACAATGGCAGGCAGTCCCATTGTTGGTAAATGACAATTTTGCCCCTTTAGACCAATTTTGGAAAAGTGAGATTAGGGACAAATTTGTCATTTCAATCTCAAACATCATTTCAAACACATTTTTTAATATAATAATCAACCAAAAAACTCAACCCAACTTCCCAAACATAAAAACTAAATAATAATGGCCTACTAAAATAGTTAAATAGCCAAAAAGCCTACTAAAATAGTCAAACAGTCAAAAAGCCAAAAAAGTAATCACTTCCCAAACACCCACAATATAATGGATTTAATATTTTGCATGTAAATATCATTGCCAAACAAACCTTGCAACGCCTACCCCGCCTTCTGTGAGGTGAAATATGAGCCTCTCGAACCTCATCAGGTGAACTGACAAAGTAGTCAGAAATTAGATTTATATGAATGCAGTAAGTTTGGAAGGATAAATTTAAGATGGGCTAATGCACCGTAATTTTTTCAAGGACTTCACTAATTTACATGCAAATTTAATGAGAGAATTTAAATAAATAAAAAAATTGAAGATCTCATCATGCAATGAGGAATGCTTTTACATAATTCCATTGAACATTCAAAAGATGTAAAGGTATGCAGAAGCTTTGTTCCATGCTAAATGTGCTTAAATCTAGTCTACATACATGGATGAAAGATGTATAACTCTATCATATATTGTTTAGTATAATAAATAAATAAACTACTACAAAAAAAATCCTGGTATACTCAAGCAAGTAAAGGAATACAAAACTTACATTACAAATAACTTCCCGTTTCTACCTCTAGAGCATCTCAAGTCCCAAAGCATAAATGATCCATCTCTTGCACCAGAAACAACAAGGTCTGTTGGATGGCAAGCAAGAAACAGTAAAAAACAAACTCAGAAGGATACCAAAAACAAGAAAATAAAATCAGCAACTTACCAGGGTTTGTTGGATGAGAACAGATGGATTTCACGCTTCCTCTGTGCCCTAACAGTGTTGCAATACATTTCTTTTCTTGTGCATCCCATACCTTTATCTGTCCACAAGCAAAAGGAATATGTAATTGACCAATAAGCATGGAATGATTATAAACTAAATGCAAGTTGTTTGCGGACTATAATTTTACCTTCTTGTTGATTTTACTGATGTGTTATCATTTTGAATAACATGAAGCCTTATACTTTAGTCCTTGGACACGGGATTTTTTTTTTTTTTTGAACAAACACGGGATAATTTAATTTGGCATAATTTGGTTTCTTAACATAACCAGTACTAGGGTCTGATTTGGTCGCATAAATAGACATAAATACAAGTACTTGAAAACATAGCAATGGCATTGTTCAAAAGTAATATTGATCCGAGCAAACAATAATTACTAGAATTAGATTAAGTTAGCATGCATTTATCATGTCCGATCATTACCAAGTAAAATGCCATTTAGGCAAATGATAAATTCGAACATTGTCACTTACACTGTGATCACCTGAAGCTGTCAGAATATTATTATCTTCCTGCACAAATTCAAACCGTAACTAATGTTAGAAAATTACTAAAGGAGGCCAAAAAGGAGCAAGACTATTCAACATAGGTTTTTTTTTGGTATCTTCGCTATTGATTCCCACCATTTATTCATAGCATTTAATCAACTCTGAGAAATAAATCCCATTCAGGCTATCCCAGTGAAATTTTAAAATACCAGTGACATGGAGAATAGAATATAAGATAGGGTATAGTGACAAACTTAGAAGCATAGCATCCAATCCAGTGTTTTGGATGGTCCTAGAAGCATCAAAAAATATATTTTGACAATAACCATGCCAATATCAGATTGAAAACTTAATGCCCAAGAAATATAAATGCATGGATCAGCACATTTAAGACTAAGATGAATATTGAACAGAGCATCCCCATTTCAAGTATTTAATGCACAATTAAAAACAGTAATCCACTCGCAAAAACTGGAAATCATGAAATACCTTGATCCAGCATACATCGAATATGGCATTTTCATGAGCAACCCATTCGTCAACCCTAGCTTTTTCTGCAAATTAGTGGTACAGATTTCAGTACGCCTTGAAAAAATATATAATAATACCCTACAAAAAACTACAAATTAAATCCCTTCAACAAATTTCTATGAATTGATCTTGCCTGAATTTTCTTGGAAAGTAGACGAAGAAGAAAACTTCAATCGAGTGTTGAATAAGCTAATATACCCATCCTCGTCGGTCACAGCAATAATATGAGAATTCTTACTTGTCTGTAGATTAATTTAGGTTACGAAACTTGAATCTGATTCTGAACATCAAAAATCATAAATGTAAATTGGAATAAATGAAATTTCACCTTGCAAAAAGAGAGAGCCATTGGAGGTCTGTGATCGCCGTTGTGTTCGACAACCACAGCTCCGGTTTGAGTGAATTTTGACAAATCATTGTCAGGATACGGTCTCTTGCGAACTGAAAAAAGCAAAGCTAAACCAAATTAAAGTGTAAATTCGATTGATTTGTGTGTGTTTGTGTATATATGGAAAGAGATAGAGAGAAAGGAACCTCTGAATCCATTAACTTCTCTTGATCTGATATCTTGAAAGAATGACAGCGATTTGGAGCTCTCCATTTGCGATGGGGAATAGAGTACAGAGATTATAGAGAGAGAAGGAGAGAAGGGAGAAGACATATGTATATATTTTTTAATTAGCGGGGTGTTGCTTGCTTGACATGGCGGGAAAGTTCATTTTGATTTTACGTGGTTGGCGGTAAGGCTACCCAGCCTTTTTTTTTTTTTAAATTACGCTTACCTCCTTTGATATTTTCAATAATTATATAGATCTCCACTTTATTTTCTTAACATAACATTAACCCCCTTTGGAAAATGAGAGATTTTGGGTGTGTTTGGTTTGTGTTTGTAGAGTAATTTTTGAGATAAAAAGCACGAAAACTTGTTTGGTTTGCCTTTTTTCAGAACAACTCCGCTACGTAACTCGAATGCGTGAGAGATCGAAATCTCCGAAATCCCAAAATGATGTCGTTTTGGGATTTTTATTTATTTTTTCTCTTTTCCTTCTCGTTTGTTTGAATAAGAAGAAGAGTCTGGAACAGAGGAAGAAGAAGAAGAGGAGAGGAGAGAAGAAGAAGAAGAAAATCTGAAATCAAACTCACTTCCCTTCAACCACAAAATTGAACACAAAATTGATTCAACCACAAAATTGAACACAAAATTAAAATCAAACTCACCCACAGATATGGATCATCATCAACAACAATAACATCTTCATCAACATCACCATTATCAACACATCATCTTCATCTTCAGAGCTAGAAAAAAAAAAAAAAAAAAAAAAACATAGTCTGAAATCGCACTCGCCCCTCCATCACCGTCGCCTCTCTCTCTCTCTCTTTCTCCCTCCTCCCTGTGTGTTCAGCTATAAACGAGAAAAAAAAATTCCAAAACGACGTCGTTTCATCAATTCGGGCCATTCGGGGAAAAAAATTCGAGCTATAAAACATTTTTTTTAAGAAATGGTTTTGAAAATTTGTTTTGGAGAGAGAGTTTTAAAAAAAATGATTGATTTAATGTGTACGAGAGAGAGTGATTTTGGAAAGTAGGTAACTAAACAAAATTTTGAGTTTTTTTTGAAAAAATTTGTTTGATTTTATTACTCGTGAAAATTTGTTTGTAGAAAAAATTTTCCAAATTTTTTTCTGAAAAACAAACCAAACAAGGCCTTTATTTATATCACTTAAATTTCTTATTATAAAAACATGTGTGTCTGTGTTTTTTTATCCATATATATATAAAAATTATTTTGGATACAATTTTGACAGCTTGTTATCATGATACGAATATAATTGTGATTACAAATTATCAAGTGAGAGGGTAATTTTTGGTGAAAATTGGGCCGAGCTATGACATGGACTTTATGGCCCAAAGTATGACGGACTGGGAAAAAAGGGCCGAGAAGTTACTTCGACCCGAGAGAGATAAATTACTTCGGTCAAAAGAGATGAAGTTACTTCGGCTCAGGAATTGTAAAGCTGCTTCGGTTTAGACAACTTGAGTTAGTCCGGTCTCCGAGTTATTCCGGTCATGACGAATTCTGGATAGATCGGTCAAGGCCTTGCTACTCAGTAGCTCGGTCCCAACATATCATGGTTCATACATGGGAGAACCGAGATACGGAGTAAAAGGAAGGGCCGAACTAAGGATAGTTCGGCCTACCTTGTGACTCAGCTTTGCCAGTTTACTTCGGTCAAATGGTAGTTCGGCCATAGTAAAAATCATCCCACTTGGTTTAAGCAGTGGGGGGGGTGTAAAAGGATAAGCATTATCCTTTAGAAGTATGAATCCTAGGAGGACTCTGCATGGAGAAATAAAAGTCCTACTAGGATTGGGCCACTCGAAACCTATAAAAGCTTACAAGCATCACCTTGGAGGAGGTAACATAACACAACATACAATTTTTCTTCCTGAACACATTGAGCTTTGTCTATTTGTCAAGTTTTCTGACTTAGGCATCGGAGAGGTTTCCGGCACACACCCGCCGGCTAGCTCACGTTTGTGTTTTCAAGTAATAAAGCGACGTCGTACGGAGGAGCGTGGACTTAGTCAACAGGATTATATGAGGAGAATTATTTCTTCCCCGTACAATTGGCGCCGTCTATGGGAACAACAGACAAGAACAAAACCTCTTGATTAAAGCTTCTCCCCTTTACATTCAATGGCACACATTGAAGAATTGCCGCAGTCCGCCGTCGACGGGCTGACTCTAGAAGGGGGCGCAAGGCGTGAAGGATTACCTTCTGTCCCTCCCATGGCGGACTTGGAGCCCCAACGACATACCTCCAAGAGGGAATGCTTAGCGGGAAAGGCGGAATAACAGCCCCCATCGCTCTCATTCAACAAAGTCCAGCACAGGCAAATGACGGAGGATTGACCCCTCAAGCTCTAGAAGACCGCGTTAAAGAACAAGATGAATTGATAAGAAAAGATGGCGGCGGACATGCGAGGCCTTCGAAACGCCAGATGAAGGAAAAAAGAAGTGGCGACAGCAGAGAGGCGGTCGCAGAAAACAGACGCCCCTCGCCACTCAGAAATCGTAGTAGGAATCACCTACACCCTCAACAAGGACGAGGCAGAAAGCCTCAAGACAGGCGACACTCAATCCTGGTTTCCAGAACTCATCAACTCCAGGACCTGAGCAGGACGAGATCTGAAAGTTCATACAACTGAAGGAAGCACATATTGGCCTTCACATTCGCAACCAAACCAGATCTAGACAGGCACAGGAATTACCCAGCATCATCCGACTTACGAACCGTGCTCGAAGAGAAAGCATGATGCAAGGAGGATGCCAGGGCAAGGGATCCACATAGAGTTTCAGCCTTGCAGCGGTTGGCTCCTCGGACGCATGGAAGCGTCGAGGTTGGAATGCCAATACCGCGCCCTGCCTATGAACTGACGGACAAGGCATTAGCAAGACTGCAGACTTCACCGTTTGTTCCAGCGATCGAAAACGCGCCCCTACCATCAGGCTTCCTTCAGCCGAAATTCACCACATATGAAGGGAAGACGGATCCCTACTCACACTTGAGCCACTTTCGCCAAGTCATGGCTGTATACAGACGAAACGAGGCCTTAATGTGCATACTCTTCCCAACAAGTCTTGGCGACCTAGGCTTGACTTGGTTTGAGAAACTCCCAGAAGGCAGCATAGCCTCTTGGGCACAATTAGCAGAAGCCTTTGTGACAAGGTTCCGAACAAACACTAAAACCCCGGTGGAGATCGATCAGCTACTCTCCATCGACATGGGTGATAAAGAGACCCTAAGATCCTACAACAGTTACTACTGGGAGACATTCAATCAGATTGGGGACTGCCCCACCAATCTCTCGCCATTGCACCGTATAAAAGAGGCCTTCCAGTTGGGAACAGACTGAGGGACTCGATCACCATAACGCCACCCCTCACTATGGAAGCCCTGATGGAAAGAGTACATCAGCACATCAGGGTAGAAGAGGATGGCGCACGAGCAAAAGCAAAATCTAGTGCGACCGCAGTACCAGAAAAGAAGACCTCAGCAAAGGTCAATACAGTAGATCGTCAGAGCAAAAACGGGCGTGGCAGACGAGATAACGGAGAAGACCCAGATAAAAGATGGTTGAGAATCCGCACTGCCATAACCACGGTGTTCAAGAAACTGATATATCGGATTCTTAGCGAAATAAGAGATGAGCCTTTTCGTCAAGTGGCCAGCCAAGCTAGGAGAAGCCCAGAAGGATTATGACGAAAGATCGCGGTGACCTTCCACAAAGAAAAAGGGCACCGCACTAAGAATTGCACGCCATTGAGACAACACTTGGAAGAGTTGGTGGCAGCAGGCCACTTGGATAAATATATTGAAGGAGGGACGCAACCAGCCCCAAGATCACAATAACCCCAACGGAATGCCAATCGACGCCCCACCTCTAAGGCATTATCAATGTAATACATGGAGTCTTTGAACCTGAGCGTGTATGCGAGCTCAGGGGATCAATCAAGAAGGCTGAGCACTTTAGAGAGGTGTTAAGTGCACAACCTGCCATCAAGAAAGGGAAGACAGAGGCAACAAATGTTATGTCTTTTCGGATAAAGACTTGGATCGAATATACTGTCCTCACAATGATGCTCTGTCGTCACTCTCCGAAGTCAAGGATTTTGACGTCAAGCGGATTCTGATTGACCAGGGTAGTTCATGTGAGATCAGTACTACGACACATTTAAACAGTTGAAGCTGCAAGACAAAGACTTGGCGCCTGCAGTTTCTCCCCTAATTGGATTCAACTCCATGCCAGAATGGCCCGTCGGCAAAATAATTCTTCCGGTCAGAGCAGGAAGCGTAACAAAACAAGTGGAGTTCTGGGTATTGAAGGTCCCCTCCACTTACAACATCATCTTGGGCAGAACATGGCTGCATGCCATGCGTTCGGTAGCGTCATCATACCATCAGGTAATGCGGTTCCCCAACGACACCGGTATAATTGAAGAAGTCTATGGAGATCAGATCATGTCAAAACAATGTTTCGCCACGGTAAATGGCAGCCGCGCTGCCAAAGGATATGTTCATTCGGTGGAAGAACCAGAAAGTAATGAGCTATTCGCAGATGTCGGCAAAGCGGTAGATTAGAAAGCAGTGGAGGACTTAGTAGAGGTAAAAATAGATGAAAAGAACCCGGATAAGTTCTTTTTGCTTGGCTCGTCGTTATCTAGCACTGAAAGATTAGAGGTCTTGGAATTCTTGACCTCTAACATCGAAGTGTTCGCCTGGACGCCCTACGACATGCCAGGCATTGATCCAAACTTCATCTGTCACCAACTCAATGTCCACCCATCCGCCAGACCAGTCATTCAGCGCACTCGCAGATCGGCACTTCACCATGCCGAATAGTGGTAGAAGAAGTAGGTAACCTGCTGGAGGCAGGAGCAATTAGAGAAGTGCACTACCCAAGATGGATTTCCAACACCGTCATAGTGCCAAAAAAGAGTGGTAAATGGCCTGTCTACGTCGACTACAAAACAGTCAACAAGGCGTGCCCAAAAGATAGCTTTCCTCTACCAAGGATAGATCAATTGGTAGACCTAACGGCAGGGCACAATCGATTTAGCTTTCTGGACGCATACAGAGGCTACCACCAAATCGCCATGCATGAACCAGACCAGGAGGTCACATCCTTTACAAC